GTTTCGATATCTCAGCTCTGGAAGGGTCTAGAGCCTCCATTTTTGCGCTCAGGTCAAAGTCTCGCGGCCCTCTATCATAATCCAGAGTTTTGAGAAGATTGGAGAAACTTGATTTTTCGCCCGAAAACTGAAAAAAACGTAAGGGGTAACACTGTCGTTTTTTTTTCGGGTCGAAATTTTGAGTTTCGATATCTCAGCTCTGGAAGGGTCTAGAGCCTCCATTTTTGCGCTCAGGTCAAAGTCTCGCGGCCCTCTATCATAATCCAGAGTTTTGAGAAGATTGGAGAAACTTGATTTTTCGCCCGAAAACTGAAAAAAACGTAAGGGGTAACACTGTCGTTTTTTTTTCGGGTCGAAATTTTGAGTTTCGATATCTCAGCTCTGGAAGGGTCTAGAGCCTCCATTTTTGCGCTCAGGTCAAAGTCTCGCGGCCCTCTATCATAATCCAGAGTTTTGAGAAGATTGGAGAAACTTGATTTTTCGCCCGAAAACTGAAAAAAACGTAAGGGGTAACACTGTCGTTTTTTTTTCGGGTCGAAATTTTGAGTTTCGATATCTCAGCTCTGGAAGGGTCTAGAGCCTCCATTTTTGCGCTCAGGTCAAAGTCTCGCGGCCCTCTATCATAATCCAGAGTTTTGAGAAGATTGGAGAAACTTGATTTTTCGCCCGAAAACTGAAAAAAACGTAAGGGGTAACACTGTCGTTTTTTTTTCGGGTCGAAATTTTGAGTTTCGATATCTCAGCTCTGGAAGGGTCTAGAGCCTCCATTTTTGCGCTCAGGTCAAAGTCTCGCGGCCCTCTATCATAATCCAGAGTTTTGAGAAGATTGGAGAAACTTGATTTTTCGCCCGAAAACTGAAAAAAACGTAAGGGGTAACACTGTCGTTTTTTTTTCGGGTCGAAATTTTGAGTTTCGATATCTCAGCTCTGGAAGGGTCTAGAGCCTCCATTTTTGCGCTCAGGTCAAAGTCTCGCGGCCCTCTATCATAATCCAGAGTTTTGAGAAGATTGGAGAAACTTGATTTTTCGCCCGAAAACTGAAAAAAACGTAAGGGGTAACACTGTCGTTTTTTTTTCGGGTCGAAATTTTGAGTTTCGATATCTCAGCTCTGGAAGGGTCTAGAGCCTCCATTTTTGCGCTCAGGTCAAAGTCTCGCGGCCCTCTATCATAATCCAGAGTTTTGAGAAGATTGGAGAAACTTGATTTTTCGCCCGAAAACTGAAAAAAACGTAAGGGGTAACACTGTCGTTTTTTTTTCGGGTCGAAATTTTGAGTTTCGATATCTCAGCTCTGGAAGGGTCTAGAGCCTCCATTTTTGCGCTCAGGTCAAAGTCTCGCGGCCCTCTATCATAATCCAGAGTTTTGAGAAGATTGGAGAAACTTGATTTTTCGCCCGAAAACTGAAAAAAACGTAAGGGGTAACACTGTCGTTTTTTTTTCGGGTCGAAATTTTGAGTTTCGATATCTCAGCTCTGGAAGGGTCTAGAGCCTCCATTTTTGCGCTCAGGTCAAAGTCTCGCGGCCCTCTATCATAATCCAGAGTTTTGAGAAGATTGGAGAAACTTGATTTTTCGCCCGAAAAAAAAAAAACGAAAGGGCTACCACTGTGCGGTTTTTTTTAGGTCGAATTTTTGAATTTCGACATGTCAGCTCTGGAAGGGTCTAGAGCCTCCATTTTGCACTCAGGTTTAAGACTCATGGCACTCTATCAGAATCCAGAGTTTTGAGAAGATTGGAGAAACTCAAAATTTCGACCAAAAATAAAATGACAGTGGACAGTGTCGCTTTATTTTTGGTCGAAATTTTGAGTTTCTCCAATCTTCTTGAAACTCTGGATTCTGATAGAGGGCCATGGGACTTAGACCTGAGTGAAAAAAATGGAGGCTCTAGACCCTTCCAGAGCTGAGATATTGAGATCCCACATAGCATTTATGCCATTATAAATATCTCAACATCTCTGCTCTGGAAGGGTCTAGAGTCTCCATTTTTGCACTCAGGTCTAAGTCTTATGGCCCTCTATCAGAATCCAGAGTTTCAAGAAGATCAGAGAAACTCAAAATTTTGACCCGAAAAAAACGACAGTGGTTCCCCTTTCGTTTTTTTTTTTTTTCGTTGCGAAAACTTAAGTTTCTCCAATCTTCTCAAAATTCTGGATTCTGATAGAGGGCCATGAGACTTAGGCTTGAGTGCAAAAATGGAGGTTCTAGACCCTTCCAAAGCTGAGATATTGAGATCCCATGCACCATTAATGCCATTATAAATATCTCAATATCTCAGCTCTGGAAGGGTATAGAGCCTCCATTTTGCACTCAGGTCTAAGTCTCATGGCCCTCTATCAGAATCCATAGTTTCAAGAAGATCAGAGAAACACAAAATTTCGACCCGAAAAAAAACAACACTCCAATTTTCTCAAAACTCTGGATTCTGATAGAGGGCCATGAGACTTAGACCTGAGTGCAAAAATGGAGGCTCTAGACCCTTCTTGAGCTGAGATATTGAGATCCCATGTAGCATTTATCCCATTATAAAAATAGTGGGTTCGCGGACGGTGGAATTTCGGGACGGCCCTGTGCCATGAGGCGCTTGGTGCTACGGACCCTGGGGGGCCTGCTGAGTGTAGTAAAATAGTTTTTTTTTATCACGACAGGAACTTTAGTTAAAATGTCTATCAAATACACTACCCGAAACCCCATTCAATAGATTGCAGGCGGGATGGTGTCCTACATAAAAATGGTATGAAACTCATACAGGTTTGGAACAACAAGACGGTGAGTAAGTGATGACAAATATAATTTGTGGTTGAACTATACCTTTAAAGGCATAGTTCACCCAAAAATTTTAATTAGCCCATGATTTAATCACCCTGGCCTCTAGCCATCCTTGGTGTATATGACATTCTTCTCTCAGACGAAAACAATCAGAGTTATATTAAACAATGTCCTGGCCCTTCCAAGCTTTATATTGGCTCTAAATGGTTGTTTCTGTTTTGAAAGTCCATAAAAGTGCATCGATCCATGATAAAAGTGCATTTATCCATCATAAAAGTGCATCCATCCATAAAAAAATATATATTAATATAAAATATTCAAAACATTCATATTTAAGTTGCACTTTAGATTTAAGTCAAATCCATATGTTCTTTTGGCCGGAAGTTATTTTACTTTATAAAGTTTTAAATATGGATATTTTTCTTACATCTCCATCTTCCTCATTACTCCACATAAAGTCAACATCTGAGATATTTTCATCAGTTATATGTTCAAGCACTTCAGAACTGTATATTCTGCACATGAAAAAGTTTCAAAAATGTATCGGTACTGTGATATATATTTTTTTTTTATAAAAGAAATTTCAATCAGCATCACTGAAAATTTGACTTCAGTAACAGGCTTTCAAACCTACTTTCCTGATTTAAAACGTGCAATTCTACAGTCGATTTTTAACTTTAATTAATAAGTTCAATCTTTCTATTTTACATACAAACTATGAAATACTGGCAAAAATATATACAAAATGTAAATACACCTTTGAAAATGTTGCTTGCTTCTGTGTTTGGAGTGAAGTGCTGCCATGCTTCTCTTCAATGTAGAGTTTTTTTTTTAATATAATTACTACATGCAGAGCTTTACTGGCATTTGATTGGATGACAAACGTCCAATCTCATGGACTGCAGGCTTTGAACTAGGTGAAATGCTCCAGAAGTTAAAAAAAAAAGGGGGCTGACATGTGATGTTCATTGTAATGGACACAGGGGTCTGAATACTGAAATAAATACTAACAGTACCAGCACTGACCACTAGTCTGTGCTGTTGCCCTTACATTGGAGCGCAGTCATCTTGGGAAATACAACTTGTAAATTTCAGACCAGTTAAATCATTAAGTTAAATCACAAATACACATGCAGAGACATTTATCTCCAGCCCTGTAGCAAATGCTGATATTTTCATTTTTTGCATCTAAATATGCCACAAGAGAGAAAGAGAAGCTCAGATGAGAAATTACCCAGGCATTTGAGCTGTGTCCTTGGATTTAGAATATCAAAGCCTGCATTTGAATAAACTTGCGATATAATACTAACTCACTGAGCTTGTTTAAAAAGATAAATGGACAGAATTAATTAGAATCTATATTAAAAAGAATATAGCGGTAAAGAGACCAGCAGATCTGTATGGAAGGTGGCCTTAACGCAGGCAGGCCGTAAGATGGTCTTTATAATTACCATAAAAGAAGGCCAGACAGGGCCGGCCTGAACTTTAGAAACCGTCGTTTTCTTTAACTCTCCCCCCATCAGCAGCTCAAAAAGACGTGCCTGATCTCTCATTCTGCGAATCTACGGAGCGAGCCTTAATCTCCGGGCCTGTGACTCCGGTCATGCTTTCAATTGACAGAATAGTATCACACATTTCCCACTATTTACTCTCAAGACTTAGATTGTCTATTGATTTTAAATGTTTGCTCATGCCCCTGCGGAAAAGGCGCCGACGGTAGAGAGACTAGCAAACAAACAAACAAACATTTGCCGGTTCCACAGCCGATGTTCAGATCAATGACAAGGGTCTCTTAGAATTTATTAAACTGTGCGTCGGGTCAAACGCATTAGATCTCACTGAAACACAATCAATAGCATTTCCTCTTGTTTTCTTAGCAGCTCCCCTCCACCCCCTTCCCCTCCCTCCCCTCCCTCCCTTCTCATAAGTAATGAACAAACATGACCAAACATCAGATTCTGTCATTTGAAGGTGAGGCAGTAAATTCATCTTGTCTGTTGTGTGTGATCACAATATAGATTTGTGGAACAGACGCTCTGTTTACTGGGCTTTGTTTTTATGAGCCACACATTTAGTCAATATCATGTAATTGGAAATTCATAGGAAATGGGCAAAGGGCTATCACTTTTAGTTTTGCTCACTGCAAGTTTGCAGGTTCAAGAATACATGTCATGAAATATGGATTTTGGGAAAGGCTTAAGCATGACATATAATAAACACATGCAAGGTATAATGCTTCTGTATGTTGGTCTTTAATGAAAAAAAACAAATCAATCCAATGACAGAATAGACCAGAACAAAAACTGTGTTAAATTGCTCTGCAGCAAAACTTGACTAACCGTTCTCTCAGGGAATAGCGGCTCAAGACTGGACTCTGGTCTCTGAGTGTGCTGGACACCGGAGTGGAATGCTCTTTGGGGGATTTATTTGGGGAACTTCTGGATGCCTGCTTGTAACAGAGAAAACAGGATCAGAATAGGCAAGGAAAAACACCCTTACTGATCAAACCAAAACTTTGTAACTCACCTGTGAGGGCTTTGATCTAAAACTTCCAAGGAGAGAGGGATCTAGAGAAGTTTTGTGGGAAAATATGGTGAAATGCATCCTCCACAACACATACAATAAAATCTCATAATACTTAATGAAAAGAAGGTTTTAAAGGGACAGCACAGCCAACTAGGAAACTCGTTGGAAATACAAGTTTCAAATTCTATCTGGGAAATCTGAGTTCCCTAAAAAAAGAATGGCTACTTTTGCAAAAAGAATCGCTACTTTTCAAAACTGGATTGCTACTTTTCCAAAAATGAATCGGTACTTTTTCAAAAAGAATCTCTACTTTAAAAAAAAAAAAAAATCGCTACTTTTTTTTAAAAAAGGATCACCACTTTAAAAAAAAAAAATAGCTACTTTTTAAAAAAAGAATCGCTACTTTTCAAAAATGAATCGATACTTTACAAGGAAACTCATATCCCTACTAGGAAATCTGAGTTTCAAACAGAAAAAGCTGGGTTTCCTACTAGGAATTCATAATTTCCTACTGGGAATTCTGAGTTTTATAGTAGGAAATCTAATTTGAGAGGGAGTTCATGTCCAATTCCATGAGCAAAGGCAATAAATTATAATAAATTCCTACAAAAGGAAACTCATATTTTCCTACTAAGAAATCTGAATTTCCAACTAGTAAATCTTAATTTCCTACTAGGAAATCTGAGTTCCTCAATTGGAAATATGATTTAGAGGGATTTCATGAGATTTCCCAGAAGAAAACTCAGATTTCCTAGAATTTTCATTTTGACCCCCTCAACAAAATAGTGGATTATTCAGTAAATATACATTAATGACATTTATTATTTTGGCTTTCTTCTTCATTTATGTATTTTTTTTCACCAGACAAATAATTATCAAAATTTAAATTTTAAGCTGGGGACCTCTGGTTGAGTTGACAGTTTTTATACCTTGCAAAAATTTCTTAAAAAAAAAAAAAAAAAAAATCTTTCTGACCCAAAGAAGTGTTTGGTCAGTAAGGGTCCAAAACAACACATTTTTCAAAATATCTTTTGTGTTCCACAGGCGAAAGTCATACAAGTTTGGTGTGACATGAGGGTGAGTATCAACAGTATAATAGTGACCTGTGAGGTTTGCGGTGTAGCACTGTGTTCGCAGTCGTAGCGGGCTTTTTTTAGTAGCAGACTGAGATGTAAGACCAAATGTCGTGGGGGACATCAGTGATGCGTTTGGACTTCGGGGCACCTGCAAACAGAAGATTCAATCAGCTACGTTGCCCATTAAAAAATAAATAATCGCTCGTCTCTGATTTAGCAGGTGAAGCGACATGCATCAACACTCCATTGACACAGAGAGCATTGATTATCCAAATGAATTTGACTTTCATTTCACAGTTAATCACTTCTCTTGGAAGGTGAAAGTGAGGATAAACTTGAGAGGGAAGTTACTCAGACTCAGGTGTCTGTATGAACTAAACTCTTAGACTTCAATTAGTCCATTTGCACTTCATCTAAATAGTAAAGTGACCATGTGAGTTAATGAAACAAGCTATTAAGTTTTCACGCAAAACAAGTGCGCTGACTTTAAACACACATAAACCGAGCGAGCTAATCTGCTGAAATAAGAGGGAAGAATTTGCTAATCATGGCCTGACTCTTAATTACTTAGGTTAATTGTAGCCTTGGGATTTCCTTTGAAAAGGCTACCCGATTTTTAAAAGGCCTGTGACAGAAAATGCCATGATGATATCAGACACGAATCCAAGAGCTGCCTTTTATATAATGACAGCTTTGATATTTGCACCCCGGGACGTACTGTTGTTTTTTGAAAACACGGGAAAAGAAACAAGCCGGAGAATTGATGTTTTTACTTCAGTCAAGAAAACGGGGTGGAGATTTTGACATGGCTGTCTGTCTCCTGTAATCAACGCCTTCACAGAGGAAATATTGTAAATAATAAAAGTTTGACAGGTAAAAATATAATAAAAATATAACCACATACAGGTTACTTGACCTGAGCTGAGCTAATGTTCTGTATCCACATGAACACTCAATACACACTTCCGTTTTATCATTCAATTTCACCCACCACGAATGGAGCCTGAGGGACCGTCTCTTTCTTAAATGTGTAGGGCCCCAGTTTGATGTGACTTAGTCGTTGTCTGGCCTCCTCGGACAGCTGACACATCTTGCGGTGGGTGTAGGGTGAAGAAGCACGACTTTGGGACGCCACTGTTGGCTTTTCGTATCCACGGGATGGTGCTGTGTCTGGTTTCTTCTTTGCAGTTCTCACACGACAGGACTTAGTAGAAGAACGATTGCATAACTGGATAGGAATAAAGACATATTTGCTTAATTTGTATTAAGAGTTGCAATCATTTGCTAAAAAAATCTATTGAATTTTTGGCAATTGAAATAAAACTGAAAATCAAATATAAATGTAAGATGAAGAATTCACACTAAAGATAAAAAATGAACTTATGTGAAAGTAATAAAATTACAATTAAAGTTGAGATGAAACTGAAGTTGCAATAGTCTTTTCTTCCCTTTTGTGATGTACAGTATATCGACTAAAAATGTAAGGCGGGACTTGATTTTGTCCGATAGCAAATGATTGGATGTTGTCATTTGATGTTATGTGAGTGACGGGTTGTCCCGCAGTCACACTAGTATACACGTCATCAGAGAAATGCCAGTGCAAGAGGGAGGGGAAGTTATTTTGATTAAAGATTATGAGGGCACATGAATAATAATAAAAATAAATGTTGCACAGAAAAAAATAAGAATTGTTGAGAATTGACTTTACAGCCAAATAGTAATATTAAAGAAAAAAAAATTCAAATAAAGCACATAAAAATACTAAAGTGTTAATTAAAATAAAACTCTATAAAATAAAAGCCAATTCAAAACAAATAGTAAATGCTACAATGACAAAGAGACAGAAAATAATATTTTGTTTAAATTATGCATTTTAAAACATGCAGAAGCTCAAAGAGAAAACAAACAGAAGAATAACTACATTTTGTGAAGAAGATAAAGTGGTATTGTGTATGGTTGCTATGTGGTTACTAAGATGATGTATGTTTATTAGCATATTGATTTGCTATGCAGTTGCTATGGTGTTTTTTGGAGGTGGCTAGGCAGTTGCAAGGACCTGTTTATATATTATTGTGTTTCCCTAAATGTTTTTTATTGCCCATTTTATCATCTGCCAGGCATAAAACATTGAAGAAATAGTACAAAACTGAGATATCACTCACGTACATAGAATAGTTAACATCCAGAATTAATACTTAGGCTTCGGTGTCTGTTCAAATCCCTTAATAGTACTGCAGGGTCCCGCATATTTTTGGAAACAATCATAATTCTCTCTGGTGCCACTAGTGGTACAGAAATTACACTCTTCACCTTTAAAATAAAAGAAAGAAAAGAGGATCCCAGAGGAAGCGAGTATAAGGTCACGCTTTATTGTAGGGATATTGCGAACGTCTTTCTGTTCGTACGGAGCTAATCCACTAATTTCCTTGTTATGTACACATGTAACCTGATGTAAACCTTTCCTCGGTGTTCCAATCTTACCTTTGCAGGCAAATGACTTCAATAACTCTAATCTCAGCTAACATAATTCTGAGCCCCAATAACTCTGTTCCTGCAGGCGCTGCCTTGGTAAATACGTTTTTAAAAATGTTAATTGCATTTGATGGCCGGCCTCAACCTAATATGATAATGGCATTACATGGATGTAAAAAAACAACGATAATTTAAATGCTAATTGGAACATCCTGGCATATTAAGTCATTTTTAAAAAAAAAAACAGAGAAAGAAAAAAGTAAATCCTGATAGCGATTGCTGTTTGAAGAGTCGAGATTTAATGAAATTAAACTAAGTGGCTTTTTCTCCTTTTATTCTTCTCTCCCTCTCTCTCTTCTTCCCCTTTCTTTGGACGGGGGGGGGACAAAGAGGCCGTTTTAAAGCAGGAGTCGCGCTTGTCTGATGTGATTAGTGGCTCGGCTGGTGTTGGTAATGGGAGATAAAGCCGGATGTCCTTGAAACAACAAAGCCAGCACCACAAGTAGCTTATTAAACAAGAAACAAACGGCGTTCAAATGCATGCAAATCACGCCGAGAAAGCCCGCTTTACAGAATGCCCTGTCAAGTCCGAACTAGAGACATCCACAAAGGGACGACTGAATCGCACATGAAACGGGCCCGACGAGACGGTCATCAGCAGAAGCGGTCTAACGAGGGACCGAGAAACTTGACATGAAGGATGCAGACTCAATCAGCGATTCTAAATGGAGCGAGGGGTCTGCGAGCATGTAATGGAAGAAACAAATTGGACCGGTCAAGTCCAACTGATCAGCGCCGATCCGGGTAGAAACGAGCCAATTCTCTGTAATTACCTGCATTGTAAAAAGAACATCCTGAAAGGGGGTGTGAGGCCACTAGAAGGACAGCAGCAAACAGAACAAGTGGCACAGATGGCAGCAGGCCGTTTGATTGACAGGGAGACCCATCACACTCCCACATACATCTAAGAAAAGCCTCGTTACACGAGAGTCATTTGATCCTTTTCGTTTAAACCTCGCCGTTTCTTTTCATTTAGCATCACAGATAATTGCTCCGTTCCAAAACATAACGAGCGTTCCAGAAGCCAGGAGCCTTAAAAGGCAGCTGCCTATGTAGGCAGGCGAGGCAGTACGCTAGCTTTTGGAACGGAGCTAATACCAGCTGCGATATTATGGCAATAACAAAAGCCCAGAGACTTACGGACATGGCAGGCTGACCGTGTTTCACTTCACACTCCTCAATAATAGATGTCGTCGAGAACTCCACTTTGGGAGAGATTCCCTGGGGGAACGAGACAGGGGAGACAGGAGCAGAAGAAAAGAAAAAGCATCACTAAACTTTTCGGATGATGAAAAGACAGAGGGCAAATGCAGATAATAACACTCTTGGCAGATCAATTTACCAAAACAATCTACGTCTTCAAGCAAATAGCGTGAAAATGGGACCGGCTTTTAAGATGCATCAGAGATATGACAAAAACGCTGAAAGGAAGACACACGCACCGGGAAGGAGATGGATCTCTTCATCAGAATCTCTCTCTCTGGGCCGGGGCTTCTGGGACTCAAACGAGGGCCTGGATACAGAAACTCCCGCGTGTCGTCTTCAAACGTGGCCAGGATCTCACCCTCTGCACGATCAAATGAAATGTGAATTCGGGCCTTTTTCTTGACAGCTCTGGGTAATCAAGTTGTTTCAGGGTAATAAAGCTGTTTCTTTGCGTTTTAAAGCAATAACGCAGCAACAGAAACGAACGAGTGTCAGATTGTGTGCAAAAATAAAAATCTCAGCCCAAGAGACCTCCATCGAAAGCAGCATGATTTATGCATACAGTAATGAGAGTGCTCGGTCCAATAATGTATGTATTCCCTTGCTGATGTTGTTTCATTTTTGAAATCGCACTAGCAGGTTTGAGAATTCAGTCGTCGCATCGACTGCAAAAGCTGGAGCCTTCAATCAAAGCTGAGCTCAAATGTATTGTTTTTTAGTTTACAGCACTATGGTGGAGAACTCAATCTACAGACTCAGATATCTGGAATGGATGTGGGATTCTTACCTGGAGGAACCAGCTGAATGAGCTCTAAAGATGTTGTATCATCTGCAGAGGAGGAAACAAACATGACGGAAAGGTATACGTTTATTGATCGGAGGCTTATGAAAGAACACAGGACAAACTTAACACAGCACAAAGGATTCTTACTCTCCAGATGCTCGGCTACAGCACCCGGGTCAACCATTCCCACAAAGGTCTGTTGAAGAGAATGAGAGAGGAAAGAAAACAAAGAAAGACAAATAGTAAGATAGCATATGTCAATTGAAGTCGTCTTACCTTCACAAAAACCATTTTTTCATGCAACAGCAGTGGGAAAACCGGAGGGACACACTTGGACTTCTGGTACTGGCCCATTATCCGAACGCTAACATACATGTCCTCTTGGGATGGTAACACCACCCCTGGACAAGTGATCTATAGGAGGAAACAAATTTTATACCTAATTTTACATCTTTATATGAGGCATACATTTAGTCATCAGTGGATTTCAGAACAAATTTTCTAGTTTTGTGCACATTTAAGCATTTTATTTTGTCCACAAAAATATTGGCATGAAACAGAAGTTCGATCATCATCTCTATTGTGATGTACACTCACCGGCCACTTTATTAGGTACCCCATGCTAGTAACGGGTTGGACCCCCTTTTGCCTTCAGAACTGCCTCAATTCTTCGTGGCATAGATTCAACAAGGTGCTGGAAGCATTCCTCGGGGAGTTTGGTCCATATTGACATGATGGCATCACACAGTTGCCACAGATTTGTCGGCTGCACATCCATGATGCGAATCTCCCGTTCCACCACATCCCAAAGATGCTCTATTGGATTGAGATCTGGTGACTGTGGAGGCCATTTGAGTACAGCGAACTCATTGTCATGTTCAAGAAACCAGTCTGAGATGATTCCAGCTTTATGACATGGCGCATTATCCTGCTGAAAGTAGCCATCAGAAGTTGGGTACATTGTGGTCATAAAGGGATGGACATGGTCAGCAACAATACTCAGGTAGGCTGTGGCGTTGCAACGATGATCAATTGGTACCAAGGGGCCCAAAGAGTGCCAAGAAAATATTCCCCACACCATGACACCACCCCCACCAGCCTGAACCGTTGATACAAGGCAGGATGGATCCATGCTTCCATGTTGTAGATGCCAAATTCTGACCCTACAATCCGAATGTCGCAGCAGAAATCGAGACTCATCAGACCAGGCAACGTTTTTCCAATCTTTTATTGTCCAATTTCAATGAGCTTGTGCAAATTGTAGCCTCAGTTTCCTGTTCTTAGCTGAAAGGAGTGGCACCCGGTGTGGTCTTCTGCTGCTGTAGCCCATCTGCCTCAAAGTTCGACGTACTGTGCGTTCAGAGATGCTCTTCTGCCCACCTTGGTTGTAACGGGTGGTTATTTGAGTCACTGTTGCCCTTCTATCAGCTCGAACCAGTCTGGCCATTCTCCTCTGACCTCTGGCATCAACAAGGCATTTCCGCCCACAGAACTGCTGCTCACTGGATGTTTTTTCTTTTTCGGACCATTCTCTGTAAACCCTAGAGATGGTTGTGCGTGAAAATCCCAGTAGATTAGCAGTTTCTGAAATACTCAGACCAGCCCTTCTGGCACCAACAATCATGCCACGTTCAAAATCTCTCAAATCACCTTTCTTCCCCATACTGATGCTCGGTTTGAACTGCAGGAGATTGTCTTGACCATGTCTACATGCCTAAATGCACTGAGTTGCCGCCATGTGATTGGCTGCTTAGAAATTAAGTGTTAACGAGCAGTTGGACAGGTGTACCTAATAAAGTGGCCGGTGAGTGTATATCAGAGTGAAACAGCTTCTGGAACGAGAAAAAAAAAATGTAGGACGGGACTTGATTTCGTCTTTTGGGAATTGATTGCATCATAGGAAGCTGGGCTTTACTAACTAAACAGAGGCAGACTGAATGCCAGTTTGCAGTCAGTTGTTGAGGATATTTAGTCCCATTTAGTTGTCGTTTCGAGAGGAAGGAGAGGTTAACGTTTTTGATTTAAGATTACGCCGGCACATGAATTGTTAACAAAATAATGATGTACACGGATAAATCATTTATAATAAGCACTGCAATATAGGGTGGTGCAGGTTTGATGCCAAAACCTGGAAGAGTAATTCGCTGCTGGTTCCTTTGAGATTTTCCTATGGGATTTTTCGATTTATGTAAAATAAAGCCTGTGGTAAATATTACTTGACAATTCTCTTTAAACTCAAGCTTTATTGTTATTAGAGACACTGAACAGATGAAGGTAATTCACACACACATCTCGCATGAATTGAAATAAATGCTATAATTCATGTATTCATTAAAATAAATGTAATCTTACACACTATATCTTTGTCTGATTCAAAGTGGGCAGAATGTATATATATGTGTGTGTGTGTGTGTGTGTGTGTGTGTATGTATATATATATATATATATATATATATGAAGAGTTCAGATGCAAAAGCCTCTAAGTGCCATTTGAAATTTTCTTCTAGAATGATAATTTTTATCAAGCGTGTATATTTAAGTTCAGTGATTTCACTTAAATGGCAATGATAATTACCTATTAATTGTTATTTAAGTGAAATTACTGAACTTAAATATACAAGTTTGATAAAAATCATCATTAAAGAAGAAAATTTAAAATGGCATTTAGAGGCTTTTGCATCTGAACTCTTCATATATATATATTTATGTGTGTGTGTATGTATGTATATATATATATATATATATATATATATATATATATATATATATATATATATATGAATATAATTTAGGGTTCATTTACTTTATGCTATTCCTGCAAACCAATGTTAATAATAAAAATAACAACACTACTACATTTTAAAACATTTATTCTTTTTTAATTACCTTATATCTTTCTTTCCTTTTGTATACACACATTAATGCCTGCAGATAAACAGTTTTGAATATCCACTTTATAGGATTTACCTGATCAATATTAACTCAATTAATTTTCAATTTTATATTATTTATCTCCGAATGTAAAGCAACCTAACGCTAACTTCCTATTAGCTGCTACTGGTTACGTTTTTGTATGAATCCTTAGAAGATAATTCCTCTCAAATGATGCGCAAACAGTTAACGGTATGCAAAACAAAATCAAAAGCTCTGATAGATGCAAACAGCTTGGCTGAAAATCAAGGATCTTTGCTTGTGCATTATTTTTAAGTAACACTTCGGAGACTGGAGTGAATGCAGGGTTGTTTATTAACATGTTTCTGCTAGTTGCAACTTTTTGATTGATGTCTCTGATGGACTGACTCGGTCCTCCGTTGATAGCAACTTGTTGCTAACGAATATGCTAACACGAAAGCTCCTATCATCATAACACATACAAATTGGAATATTTCTGTTTTTGTTGAGAATGGAACGCGTGCTAATATACTCACAGCTTGGATTTCCAATTCGACCGTGCATTTTAGCGCTTTTTGTCGCATTTGTGAGGACGAAGGCTTCTTGGGCGGTGTCAGTCCACCCATGTTTTTTAAACTTGGTTGCTATGACAACACAACAGCCCATGTGGCCGTGAAAATGAGAGGAAATTACGACACAATCTTCTTAATATTGGGGAAATAAGCAGGAAATAAGCTTCTTTTACTCACTGTCTATGTAAAATAAGGCATTGCTTTTATGCAGAACTTCAACAAAGTTTTTCGAAGTAGAAAAATATGCAAGTTGTAACATTAGTGTATCTCATGAGATGTAAATGTTTACTTGTAATGTTAAACTTTATTTCTCCGTTTTATTTCCCAATGTACCTCCTCTCCTGTCTATATTTATAAATGTCAACAACAATGTGAAAAACATCTACACATATAAAACATATAACTTTTTTTTTCAACATAATATATATAGGCCTATATATATATATATATATATATATATATACATATATATATGGTCCCACTTTATATTAAGTGGCTTTAAGTACTATGTAATTACATTGAAATTAATAATTTGATACAATGGACTTATTGTGTACATACATGTTTTTACATTGTACTTACATTTTCAAATTCCAGAATGTAATTAGCTATAATTAATTTATGTAATTACAATTACACCTTAACCTACCCTTAAACCGACCCATACCACCACACCTGTCCCTAACCTTACCCGTATCACACCACAATAGCAGCAAAAGTCTTTTACAATACAACAGGAACACAATAATACATTGTACTTATTGTTCAATGTAAGTACATAGTACTTAAAGCCACTTAATATAAAGTGGTACCGTATATATATATATATATATATATATATATATATATTCAGAAGTATGGCTCTTCATTATAACGTTGGTGGTTAAAACTAAAGTATCATAACCTACGTTTCATATTATTAACAATAATGATTGTAATTATTATTAATAATAATAATAAATCAGTCATTCATTAACTGGATTAAGTGAATAATTTAAACAAAAAGAACAGTTTTAACAAAATAGATTTAAGTAGGACAAACATTGGGTCTGAACGGTCAGCCTAAGATTTGTGCCAACTTTTGACAAAAGTGATGGTAAGAAAATGCAGCGTTAACAGTGTTTGGTCCTAAAAACAGCTACATTTAAAGTGACGAGTGAGGACACATTCACATTACTATTGAAAAGTAATGACTATTTCTCAAAACATATAGGGTGAATAGAATAAGAAATTTCTAAAAGTGGAGGACATTACAGTAGTTCCCAAAGACTCGGTTTTAAGCAGCTTAAAATGCTGTCCAGTGATGGATCTGCCCTCGAAGTGAACCATACCACCGCTAGTTCTGAGGGACAGACCTCACAGAGATTCACTGAGGCGTTAACTTGTGCACAGGAATGGACCATGTCAATGTTTAAGAAGGGAAATGCAAACAATTCACACCAGCCTAAGGGCAATTAGGATGTGTTTGTGGCAGTGAGGTCAGCCAAGCATAAGGGACTAATGGTTCGAGGCTCTGGTTAAAATGACAGCGCAGTGGGGAGGTGAGACTCTCCATAAGCACAAAGGCTTTTAGGTATGACAGCGCCATTACCTGTGTGTGTGTGTGTTTGTCGAGAATCTGTAGATGGATGTGTTTTCTCATTCACATTAGCTCTCGCCATCTTCTCTTCTACCATCTAAAATGCAAGTAATTTGTTTTTGCCTTTTCTGACGGATTGCCTCAGTTATTCCGAATGACTGGCCTGAAAAATACATGCTGCTTTTCACACTTCTTGAATGATAGCTTGAGCCATTCTGTATTTTGGCCCCCCTCACACTGTGTTGTGAGTGTTGGTTGAGTGTGGACAGATCAGACTTTGTTTGGAAACACTGTTACAAGCTTAACAGACTCCATATTAGAGTATTGGTCAACAGCAGAAAAATATGTTGATGCTTATCAACTGGAGACTACGATGAGAGGATTAAAAATGCATTGTTTTTTAATAGCATTTCAAAATGACTTCTGCTGGTTCTCAATATAAGCACTTAATAAGACACTGAAAAGCAATTTTTCATCAAAAAAATAATGAAATAGATAAAACATTTTTTTATCACTTTATTAGATGCAAATTTCCAAACACAAAGCATGAATATAATAAAACATTACAGGTCAATTGCTTTATATTTAAGCAATGTTCAAGCATTCAGGTTTGAACAAACAACTAAAGATGACTATCTAGACAATTAAAGAATTCATAAAAGTAATCACTTTATCTGAATGAGTACAGCTGAGTGAAATACAATTTCTGTTCTTATAATAGGCATCTCCAAGAGCAAGGCAAAGAAAATAGTTGGTATTCAACAAAGGACAGAAAAAGCAATAAATGTAGCCTGTGGGATAATTTACAGTTGATGTTTTCTCGGTGCAATATCTCACAAGTTAGAATTAATACTGAAGACTTATTCAGTCGTTGAATCCTATCATCACATAAAAACTTACACAACAAATATCAGGTGGATTGCTGTGGGCTGATATGAAAATGTAATTTGCAAGTGGACGGTTGTTCACTGTGTGTTTAGTCCCTGACTCCATGGGGCTTTCTGTCCCCTTTTACCTTCCCATTTCCAGTATAGTTTCCTTGATGACTGGTGGATGTTCCTTCGGAAGTGCTGAAAGACAAAGTATGTTTATTAAAGGTGTTTTGTCAGAATCATAATTGTTTCTAGTAGATTGCGTCCATCAACACCCCCAAAGCTTCAGTCCTATACTTCCTGGGTTCGACATTTCATTCGGTGACATTAGACAATATGTGTAACAGCAAAAACATGGATAGCCATAAACATTTTGTCAATGCCAGGGAAGCGTCGTCTCTTAAATGACGGAAAATTACGTCAATGGCGGGGAAAGACTTTAATATCTGCTAACACTCGATGGTCCCCAGGAACTTTGGAAGTACACGTCAACTTATTCTACTAACCCTAACCCTAATTTAACAATTAACTAATACTCAAATCAGAGTTAATTGACATGTATAGTTCCAAGTCAATGCGTTAGTTGAAATGTAGTGATGGCACAGTGGATAAGGCACATGCCTTTGGTGTGAGAAACCCGGGTTCGAATCCACTGTGAGACACCAATGTGTCCCTGAGCAAGACACTTAACCCCTAGTTCTCTAGAGGCGTGCGACCTTTGACATATATAGAAATTTTAAGTCGCTTTGGATAAAAGCGTTAGCTAAACGAATAAATGCAGTTGCAAAGTTACGACTGTCTAAAGTGGACTATCAAAATAATCATGGTTTTTCAGGATCACTAGGAAGCTTACAGCAGGTGATTTTGATCTAAAGTATGCAGTAAAGTGGACTTCAAGGGCCAGAGTTGAGAACTTTCTAGACAACAATACACAAAATAAAGCATGTGACAGGATTTCTAGTAAGAGACAATCATTTCATTCATATGCGGTGAAGGAGTGTGCGTGGTGAATATAGGATAAGATGTTTAAAAATGTAATGTTTCCCAAGTGAATTCCATTTATATGATAATTTAAAGCAGGAACCCTTAGTTGTTCATGAGGGAACTGCAGGGGGTTTGTGAGATAAAAAGCAAATAATTAAATCATAAAAAAAGTAAAAAATAAATGATATTTTTAAAAAGAAAACTGAAGTAGGAAGTAAAACTCATAAGATATAAAACATGAAAGTTAGCCATAATCGGTATCAAACAATTGAAGCTATTTAAAAAGAGATGTTCATAAGAATAAGGAAAACAGACAAACGATTAGTCACCTGTTAATGTGCTTGCTCTCATCTGTCAGGTTGTTCAGCTTGTAGTAATCCAGGAACGTCCGGGCCACGTTTCTACCCAGCTTCATGTCTGTGAGAGGAAATTAAGGGGCCTTCCAGAAAACTTTACACAGATAACACTGACAGATCTACAAAACTACACAAGTAGAGAAATCGAAATATAAAGTGACCTTCATAAGCATAGATATTAGTCTTTTGACTGTTTTATGGTCACTGGTAAAAACTGTGCTGGCATTTTAGAGACAAACACCTTGATCCCACTCCAGCAGCCTGTCTCTGAATTCCCAAAGAGACGGTCGACACCAAAGCAATATTGGAATGCCTCCTAGGCCCCGGCACGGTTAGAGCGACGGATCCCTCGGAACCTTTAAATCTCTGTTCTGACGTGCCACTTTTAATTGAAAAATAAATAAATAAATAAGAGCCCAATTTTCTCCCATCTCGCACCAACGCGACCATTTGCAGTAAATAACTGGCCAATACCCAGCAGAGCAATGCGGAGAGTAAATAAGCGGGACAGGCGAGCCAGCGCTCAGCTCCTCGTGAGGATAAATCAAACGCCTCTCAGTCAAGTCAGCCAAAAGGAAAAAAAAAATGCATCTCATTCCTGCAGTTACTTACAGCCAAAGCTTTATTTAAATTCATGCATCTACTCCACACAACCCCACCCCCAAGCCTTTTTTCCACCGTGCCCACGTTACAGAGCACATCAATTACCAAAAGCACTGCATCAAAGAGCTGTGAGGGCACTTACAATGCAGCTGAAAGAGTGGGAGCCGTTTAAATCCGACAACCACAAGCCAGGCAAACGTTAAACGGAAATAATTTTCTTTTAAACTAAAGGAATAGTTCATCCACAAATGAAAATTCTGTCGTCATTTACTCACCCTTCGTGTCGTTCCAAACCGAGGCTTTCTTTCTTCCGTGGAACACAAAAGAAGTTTCAAATAATGCATTGGCCATTTTTTCCATGCGACCACAAATAATGCGGACTGGAGCTTTCACAAACGTAGTTCATATGACTCTTCTGATGCCATAAAATAACAGTAACTTGGCCATAAACGAACAGACTGAACCAAACATCTTTCCTATTTTTACATGAAAACTGATGATGTCCAATTAAACAAATTATTGTATTGTAGTGGTCTGAATGATTCATTAGGTTCTAATTTCATTAAAGATTATCATAGTGCAGGAGTCATATACATACATTGGCTTTTTCATGTTTAATATTTGGTTTGGAGCAAATGACAGAAGTTTCATTTTATAGGCCTTTAAACTGTACATTTGAAGATTTGAAATAAAAGCATGATCGCGTGATATAGATCATACATCTATGTGAGTTACGGACTGTGATGGATCTCTGTGTTGTAGGCCACTGGCTCAGAATAGATGTTCCATCATGATCTGATAAGGAAGGTTTTCTCCATCTGTGTGTTGTGGTTAAGCGTCTGCTCTTTTGGGGCCGGACACTGTTGACGAATGAACGGAGAGGTGTTATTTTTCACCTTTGGCTGTCAGCCTTTAACCGATGTTCTGAGATGACATGTCTGACTGTCAGGGCTGTTGGAGTGAAACAAGAGCCCTGGAAGAAAAACAAGGTGCAAAGCGATTCAGTCGTTTTTTATTTTTATTTTTCCAATTTCTTCCAACAGTCAAAAATCTCCCTGGCCACATAAATCCCGAGGCCATGGCTGGAATCCTATTATCTCATAAACAATCCCTCTTTGATGGGAACGCACCCACCTAAGGACTTTCCGTCATGTCTCATGCATGTAAAATGATATTCGCAGCCGAAATGACTGAGTTATTCATAAGCGCATCAATCGCCAAATGTAATATGAACATTTGTCAGTGAAATAAACAGGCGCTCAACATGACCTTGATTAGCAGAGAGGTCAAAGCATCTGTGTTTAAACCTTCCATTTGGGCTCTTGGATCCCCCCCTGCTCTCTGTGGCCTCGACAGCCACTGCAGTGTATGGAGTCATTCTGGGTTCCATCCCTCACCCAGCGGGATGATGGGAACTCTCTCCATGACTCCAGCCCCTGTCTTCACACCCCATCTGGCCAGGGCTGCAAACACTCCAAAAACAACAGCTATTTTTGGATGCCAGGCAGGGAAGATGGCACGGTTCACTTTGAAAGGATGACACAGAAGACATGGCGTGACATGGCATTTCTGTTATGTTTCTAAAGTGCACCGTATTGATTAAGAAATAGCATGAAAAAAATATATCAAGAAAATGGTTTAGTCTTTTATGTAAAATGTGAATAATAATAATTAATAACATAATAATAATTCAAATAATATTATTGTGAGAAAATGAAAGAAAAATTGTGAAATATTGAAAAGTAATGAATTAATAAATAAGTAAGATAATACTGTGCAAAATTAAAGAAATGTTTTGAAATATTACAATAATAATAACAGAGACTATTGTGTCTATATAAAATAATAATAATAATAATACTATATTTTTTTTTATAACAGCATTGTTTTAGAACTTTTTAGAACAGAACAAGTCTAGCAAAAGTATTAAACATTTACGCCAAAGCCTCAAATCTCTCTCAACCATGACATCTTTGCTTTGACCTCGTGAAAAGTTTCATGCTTCCCCTCTATAAACAGGAACTCTTCCAGCCTGTTTGTGTGTGTGCGCGTACGTGGAGCCCTGACAGAAATAGCCAGAGACCCTGCCGTGTGCAGATGGCCTCTCCACTTGTAATGTCACATCATCATACCCATTTATAACAGGAAATATGTGATGGAAGGTCTGATGAGGAAGAGGAGAAGACTTCATCAGCATCACAGCTGTGAGCGGGACTCTCCTGCGCTCTGATTGGCTGTTGGCCACATCCCAGCAGCAACCAGAATGCCTAGAACAACTTGGAAGCAGGGGGAAATGCGAGGTACTGCCAGAACGTGGGATGTGGCTTATGGAGGGCTGGAATTTAAAAAAAAAAAAATTCACAGTTCCACCTGGACGGTAGACGAGAGCTGTTGCATAATAATGAGGCATGAAGGTTAGGCATCCTGTGTGGTGAAGTGGTCACGATTGCAAAACAGACGCCAGACCGCAAACATCACGAGGCAGAATTACGTTTCACCATTAATCACTGATGTGAGAGGACTTATAATAAATCGGAGGAATTTTGTCAAGAAGTAAACAGTTTAAAGGGGTCAATTTTTCTTGAGCTTTTGACATCTAAGAGGTCATCATATTATAAGAATATCATGTAAGTTTCAGAATTGAAAACGTCCTTGTTAGTCCAATAAAAGCTTTTATTGACACCAGCCCCAGCAAACGACTCGTTTTTCAAAGTGGGGAACTATGACGTCCACCACAGCAGAAGAAGAAGATCAACCCGACTCACGCATTCACGCATAGCTAAATAACTTAGATTCCTACCTCGTGATGACAAACCGGATCGAGCTACCGAGCGAGCAATACAAAATATTGTGCACTGCCTGGTTGTGGAAGTAGACAGTCGCTGCATAAGCTTGATTCCAATATGACTGCATGGATAAACTTTATTTTTAATGACGTTCCATCTGATGAAGGTAAAACATCGTCCGTCTGTTCGCTTCATTTCACTGAGGATTGTTTAGACTGGATTTGCAGACCGATTAAGATTAAAGAACGGTGCTGTGCCGTCTATATTGGATCCGGCAGGAATTGTGCAAAACACGAACTCTGGGTCGAACATGTATGGGCGAATCATTCCGGTTGCCATTTTACAACATTGGACGTTTTCAAAACAATTTCCCCCAAGTGCACCAACGGGTGAGTTGAAACTCATTATAATATGCAAAACTGTTATCCACTCACAGCAGTGGGCGTTTACTTCCAAGTCTTCAGTGCGAGACGGCCATAAAAAACGAGCGTTTTTCAGCTAGGCTCACAACTAGCGTAGAAATTCATTTTGATGTTTTTGAAGGCAAAAACCAAGCGAACGTTATAAGTTGAATAATAAAATTTCAGTGGTGGAATGTAACGAAGTACAAATACTTCGTTACTTTACTTAAGTACATTTTTCACGTATCTTTACTTTACTTAAGTACAATAAATAGTGCCTACTTTTTACTTTTACTTCGTTACATTTTGCAGCAATTATTATACTTTCTACTCCACTACATTTCTACAACTTCTGTTACATTTTCGTTACATTTTCTGATCAGTTTTTCCCCTGCTAAAACGTAATCTGACCGTCCGTTCGTTGCACGTTTGTCTCACCAGTGACGTTTGGTTGCCATAGATACAGTATATCAACCCAGTCACACTAAATGCGTCTCACACGCAGTGTGTTTATCATGCAACTCATACGCGAAAATTTGTTTTTACGTGCATAGGAAACACACCGTGTGTAATATATGTTTGGTTTGGTTAGGATTATGGCAAGCCAAGAGGTTCAGAATTACACCATAAATGAATCGCGTTTACTGCCAAACATAGTTATTAACATATAGTAAGGATAAGCATGATATGCCTAATTGCAAGCTTGTTTCAGAAATGGTGACATTTTTTTTCCATCATTATTGAACATCATTATAGGAGTAGGCTATTAGGTTGAATGAGTTAGAATTAAATGTTTTATTAATCATTAGAAAATAGACATTAAGATAATAAATTGTTATGCAAGTACTTTTACTTTTAATACTTAAAGTACATTTAAAATAAAGTACTTTTTACTTTTTACTTAAGTATGGTTGTCATTGTGTTACTTCTACTTTTACTAAAGTAAATATTTATCTTTGTATTTGTACTTTTACTTAAGTACTGAGATTCAGTACTTCCTCCACCACTGTAAAATTTAAAAAGCCAGTTCATGACCCCTTTAACATCATGAAAATAGCCCTATGGACCAGGTGTTTTCAGTCATCTTGTACAAAAAAAAAATTAAGGAATTACTTATGTTCTCAAGAAAATTTATCAGGGGTTCCAAGAGGTTACAAGCCGTTCAGTTAAAAAATCGGAAAGAGAACATCTCACCCACACCTCCACACATCTCATCCAACGTGAAACGTATCTGGGCTTAAAGCAATCAAGAGTGGTGGATCCTGCACAAA